GTTTTCCCAATGCATGTGAGTCGCTTCACTCAGTCATCAGAAGCCTATATGGTAAAAACTATCATTTTTTTTTCTGCTGTGGAGATAAGAAAACTAAATGTCTTGTCAAGGCCTTGTTCTCGCATCTGGCCGAGTCAGAACACACACCCAAGATGAACCCCAACCATTAACCGGGCACCTCACTACTCCTCCCATTTCCTCCTAATGCACAGAGTAGACCTCGTGACTCTCACTCAGCTTGGCTACCAGAGGAGTAAGGCTCATCCGACTCTCTTAGGATTTGAACTTGGGATTCCTTGAAGTCAACAGATGTCAAAGCTGATACCAAGACATCTAAATCATCCTCCACAATGCCATGTGTTCCCAAGAGAGTCAGGAAAAAAAAAGAACACCAACACATCCTTTTCAACAAGTGAAGGGTTGATGTCTGGGCTACCTCTCAATCATCCACTGTTTCTTCTTCTTCTTCTTCTTCTTCTTCTTCTTCTTCTTCTTCTTCTTCTTCTTCTTCTTCTTCTTCTTCTTCTTCTTTTCTATTTTCCCTTTGTGGAGAAGGTCAGTGCTGAGTTAGTACTTTGTGCTGTAAATAAGCTGCTAATATTCTATGTTGGGCATCATTTCCTCCGATGCTTTTTTATAGGATGCCAGGCCTTTCCTAGACTATGCCCCACAGTACTTAACTTGTTTGCAGTGGGAGGAAGATGGAAACAGTCTATTGAAAATATCAACCCTTCCTTCCTGAAGTTTAAAGAGCCTAGCATCTTTCTTTTACATTCTGCCCTGCAGGCAAAAATCCACCCCCTAACCCAAATAGGCATGATGAAAACCAGAAGGAATGGTATACAAGGAGTTAACCCTAGCTAACTGAAAATATAAACAACCACGCCAATGTGACTTAGCTTCCACATTTGGTCAGGAAGGCTACCCACCCTCTTAGCTTAGAGTCATTGACCCCTGAGGTTCTACCTTCATCTGTGAACCAGCTGGGGGGGGGGGGTGGATAAGATTATGAGCTACTGCCATTAGAAAGAGAGCTGGACTTAGAGGCATGAGGTTCCGTTTCTCCTCTTGGTGGGCTAGGTAGCAGGGCAACAGGCCAGCCCCAGAACCACAAGGATCTTCAACAAACCCAAAGCAGAAATCCAGCTCAACTCTAAGAAACACTGGCTTGTTTGTTTTTAACCCTTTTAAAGGATTCCTTAAAGGCCCAATGGTCAAGATGCCTGTGCCCATCCTGAGGACCACTGTGAGAATAAATGAGAAGACACGGGGACATGTATGAACTAATCCTTAGCATACTATCGATGCGCAGGGGATGGCACCTGTTATTTCTGCTCTTAGTTCTAACAGCCTGTCCCTCTGTAGCCTGACACACATCGCTACATCTTAGCAAGCCTTAGCCTGGAAATGGAGTGGGTACAAATGAGGTCACCTTGCCAAAATGGCTGTGAGGAGCCAGCGAGAGCATTTTCTCACTGTAGAGCCCCAGCAGGTGTCAGACAAGATTACTGCGCTGTTTGTTGTTATTAACCTTTGATGATCTCCGCCCTCCAAAGGTCTTCAGATAACTTTCCAGAGGAAAGCCAGAGAGCTATGGAAGAAAGCAAATGGCCTCTATTACAAATTAATCCCTTCCCCAGCTGATCCTTTAATAAGCTGGTTAGCCCTTCCTTCAGAAGGGTCAGTTTATTCCATCAACCCCAGTGAGCTGGAAGACCGGCATATTTTTTTTTTTAATAATCTTACCTTCTCTGGTGTCAATAGGAAATAATATTTACTCACTACCATTTTCCTTTCAAAACGCTGTCTAGCTGCATACTAGAAACAGTTTCGGCTGCTTTGTTTGTCTTGGACAAGGTGCTGAAGTGAAAAGTTTTTGCTTGGCTGCGTGCGAGAAACTGTTTCATAACCCTTCAAGAAGGGCACTGGAGGTGGGCGCCGGCTCCAAGGACAGCTGCCCCTCACGGGCCTCTGCCTGCAGCCTATTGTCAAGGGTAGCCAGCATAATTAAATTAAGACAATGAGCGAAGCAACAGATGCAACTGAAACCCAAGGGCCTGAGTGCTTTTGTTCGCCCCTGTCATTGTCTGCAACAAAGAAATCACATGTGAGCGCCCGGGAAGAGAGCCAAAAGCAAACCAGACACACAGCTGGTCCTAAGTGGGTTCTCTGAGCCCGTGTGCTGGGGAAGCATGCTACTCAGGGCAGTGGCGGGCACACCGCTTCAGCTCATAGCTCTGCTGGATGCTCAGGCAGACCCCCAAGAAAACCACCCGGGGACACTTCTGCCCAACCTCATCCTGTCTACCTTCGGCTTTTAGAGAGAAGAGAAAGGGCTGGAAGACAGAGATCTGTAAGACAGTCAATCTAACCTCACTTTCCCCTTTTAATGGCTGTACAGCCCTCCTACGCTTTGAGCGTAAAGGATAGAAGAGACCCGAAGGTGTTCTGTGGCAAATTCGTAACTCAGCCTGAGAACAGGAAATGCGAGAGATTGTGGGGTTCCTTTCATCGTTACCAGCTCATTCCTGAATTTAGTGTGTGCATTTTGGAGTCCCTGTTCTTTATTTCTAAACCAGTGTGCATATTAAATAGGGGAAAAGGCATAATTCAAAAGTATACTCCCCTAGTAAATGTGGTTAATAAATACGTAGAATAATACTGTCGCTATTAAAGCTATTTGGCAAGATGGATTCAATGGGTTGACATGTGGCTTCAAATGGTTTGGGAACTCTAATGATCTTCTCCCCACCACAGATGACTTCATTTGTCTAGAAAACGATTATAAGACGTAAGGAGCGGATGTTCACCGGTAGATTAATGTCTACCGCGTTGCCCAGTATTGAAAGCATGTTAAGTGAACTTTGATAAAGTCATATGCTATAAAGAAGGAAAGTCTCAGTATTTTAAGCTGATGGCATTTGGAGATGCTCTGCCCAAGGTCCCACTTTTATCCGTGCCTGCTTCTTAAACAACTGGGTGCGGACCTGGTATTTTCAAGAGTGTTTTTACGAGATGACACCCCCTGTCTTCTGTTTGGTCAATGTGATATGAACTCACAAAGTTCCCTTTCACATCCCATGAAGGACTCAGTGGTGGAAGTCGTGTTCCTGGCAGTGCTGATCAACATGTGTCAGAGAAATAGCCACATGCCTAAGAGTCTTGGTTGAGAGGTATTGGTTCCAAGGAACAGTAGAGTTCATCAGTATTAAATCCTGACCCTTCCTAGGTCTCCGAAGTCCTTTAGTTCCTAACACGATTGAGATTTAGTAGGCATTACCTTAAGCAGAAAAGTCTGGCACTTCTGGCTGCTAGTGTGAGGATAACTGTTGGTCTTGACAGAATTATATCCCCAGTGAGGAGGGACCCTGGTGGCATCTGAAGTTCATTTCTGTACCTATAACTGTCTACGGCATCTTCCTACAGCTTCTGACCAGCGGTAAAGCACCTCCAACATCTCGAGCTAGAGTCTGAGCTTTCACAATCATGAGGCAGTGAGCCTGCTCTCTTAGGAATTCTGTTCCAAACAAAATTCTTATTTCTTCATTCCTTCATCGTCTTTATTTGTTGAGGAGGTGAAAATGGTAGCAACTCAAAGAACTGGGTGCGCGGGCCTTAGAATGGTTCCTTTCCAATTAATCTGGCACAACGGAGGCAGGGAAGGGGGGTCAGTTGGCTCAGTCAGTGAAGAGCCTATCATGAAGCATGAGAGTCCGAGTTCAGATTTCCTGGCATTTCTATGAAGAGCTGGCAGCCAGGCATTGGTGCTGAGGGAGTAGGGGCAGGAGCACGCAGACCCCCTGAGCTTGCTGTTCAGTACTCTAGCCACACTCGGTGAAAAACTCTCTTTCCAAAAAATAAAAAGACTGCAGCTCGACAGGTCACCCACATGCACGTGTGTGCACTTGCTCGTGTACATGCGTACACACATGAATACAAAGATGATATAACAGATAAAGAGAGAACATTAATGACAACATGCAATGCTCATGTTAATTATGATGCCTCCAGTCTAGGAAAGGGCTTTCGCGAATGCTCTCTCTTCAGTCTTATAGATACTAATGTTATTCTATTATAGATACTAATGTTATTCTGTTATGCATGACAAAGCGATGCCTTGCACGAGTTCACATGGTTGGCAAATAGACTAGGGTGAGATTCGAGTAAGCTCGACTCAGGAGGTTGTGATTTTTTTTTTTACCTGAACGTCTCAATCTTCTGCTTCAAGAATGCTGCCTCTCTCCATAGTAGAAAATGAACAAAAATGAAAAGCAACATCTTCTTTTTATAAAGCAACACTGGAAGACAAGTTTAACAAAACTCCTGAGGTAACCTCAGAGTCTGATGAGTCTGGGGTTTTGTTGCTACTGTTGCTTGGAGCTGTTTTGTTTTCTTTTGCTCACTGAAAGGGGAGTGTGCTTCCAGTCAGAAGGTTAGACTTCTCCATCCTGTGAATAAATCCGGGACAGAGGCGGGTGGAGAGAGTGCCCTCTCTATGTGGTTACAGAGCAGCGGTACCTAGGCCGCAGAAGCTCGGAGAGCAAAGTCAAGTTCGGTTGAAGTAGCAACTGAAGGCCTGTCCATCTGTATGTTCCTCCAAGAATTCAAGACCCCAAACCTTCTTTTAGCTGGTTGGTGAAGCATGAGACACAAAAGGATGAGACCCTGTGTTGGGAAGAGCTAGGCACGGTACCAAGGAAGAGTCAGCAGCCTCCTATAGCACAATGACAAAGGGAAAGGGGCTTCAAGTTTCAGAAATTTATTATTATACATCTTATAAAGAACTACAAGAGTGTGAAAATTACCAAAGTAAAGAAATAATAAAGTTTTAAAGGTATCGAAACACTACACAGCCTGTTTCGGTCGTCACACATCGTGTATGTATCTCGAGTTATCTATCAAATGGTGACTAATAAATGCACAGGCTGAATGGACTGTTTAAAGGCATGAATAGCTGTGTAAACACCAACTTAATGGGACCTTTTCTTCCTTCTTTGTAGGAAGTACATTTGAAGAACGCAAGTAGAGGGAGTGCGGGGAACAAGAACTACAGGATGTAGGAAGAGCCTCCCAAGAAGCAGAAAACGACATGTCACCGGCAGGATCCTTTGATCTGCATGAACCGCCTGCAAAACGTTGGAAAAAACCTACCAAACAATAATACGTTCAATAACATTTCAAAGATGGGCATTTCTCCCCCCCTCCCCCCATGAAATATACACATAAACATTCCAATATTGTCATTAGGAGTGTTTGTTAAAAAACAAAACAAAACAAAACAAAACTTTGCATCTTGCAAAAATGGTCCTGAGTGGGTAGATTGCTGTTGATCCTTTATCAATAACGTTCTATAGAGAAAATATATATATATAATTATATCTCCTAGTCCCTGCCTCTCAAGAGCCGGAAATGCATGGGTGTTGTATAGATCCAGTTGCACTAAATTCCTCTCTGAAGCGTGGCTGCTGGAGCCATTCAGTCAGCAGCTGTGTAGAAGTGGTTCATGAATTACTCTCCTTATTTTCACTTTTCCCCACATAGCTCAAGCTGCTTGTTTTACCGAGTCCGATAATCTTGTCTATCCATCCCCAGGAGCCCTGCCCTGTCCCCGAGATGTGGATTTGTTCAATTTGGCCTCCTCAAAAGCAAATAGCGAGTTACATAGTCGACCGGCCCACCAAGTTTTAACCCATCCGATCCCATCCGTGGCATTTGTACCAAATATAAGTTGGATGCATTTTTTTTTAGACACAAAACTTTATTTTTCCATACCGAGTTATGACAAAAGACATAGAGTGACGGTAATTGCAGCTTTGAGGCCAATCAGTTTTAGGTGTGTGTTTGGAACATAGGACGTCTCTTCCGCTCTCGATGGTTCCTTTGAATGATAAGTTAGTCTGTAACCTAATTAGCAATTTCTCGTTTTATTTTTTTTCCATATAGAGCACTATGTAAATTTAGCATATCAATAATACAGGATCTATCAAACAGTATGTAAAACTCTGTTGTTGTTGTTGTTTTTTAGTACAATGGTGCTATTTTGTAGTTTGTCATATGAAAGAATCTGGTCAAAACGGTAAAAGGTGAAAGCAAAGCCAAAATGAAAGCCTGGAGCCTAAGATGACAAAATTAGGAAGGGAACTAAGAAAAAAAAATCCATCCTCTTGGGAGATGCAAAGGCCTCCCCAGCTATGCCTTCCAAGAGGAATTTAAGATATGAAGTCCACTAAGACACCCGTACTCAGCGAGTCCAGAGAGGACGCTGTAGAGTGTGGGAAAAGCAAGAGGCTAGGGATTTTTCGGAGTCCTGGTTTCTTTTTACCACCGAAGAAATAAGTAGTTGCAACCTCTGCCACACAGACTCACACCTTGTGACCTTGATCAAGTCACTCCGACTCTTGGTGCCTCAGTTTCCTCATCTGCAAAATGGGGGCAATACGTCATCTACCTACCTCAAAGGGGTGGTATGAATATTAAAAAAGAGAGATCTTCAGATTTTTCCTCTGGGTTTCCAGGAGGGTGCAACATCAGAGCCCTTGAGTTGCTGGGCTACAAGGAGTGCTATGATTAACCCATTGACAATGTAGCTCCGTGGATTACCCGCCCATCACTGCGAGGCTACTGTGCTATCCGAGTTCTGATTGGAGAAGCTGTCCAATGACCTAACGGAGAACCGATGACTCCATCTCTCCAACGCGAGACAAGTAAGAGACACTTGATTCACAGTTTGATTTCACTTCTGCTCTGAATGTGCGCATATAAAGATGAGTGAAAAGACAGGAAGAGGGAGAAAGAGCAAGATCTTGGCCAATCAAAGAGAATTCTACTTGTCCCCTCCCACTCATCCTTCCAGGCACTTGGCATCTCGGAATAACTCTAATATTATCAGTGATAATCTACCCAGTTTGAAAACCACATTTTTCTTCCCTTTAGCATATGAAAATGGGCCCTAATAGTCTTAAGTTTTGAAATAATATCTATTAAAAAAAATCACAAGTTACTTTAGTGGACAGAGTCCTATACCCTTGCTTGTATATAGACATACTCAGTTTATTTTGTGAAAATGTGCTGGCCAGAACTGCTAATTGAGAGGCAAAAATCTTTTTTCTCAACCCCAAGGTTCTCCCTAGCATTTGTTTAGAAGGAAGAACCCAGCTTCCTGAAGATGTATTGGATGCATTCGACTGGGCATTGATACCCCCCCAAAATAACAAAAACAAAAAACCTAGAAAGTGTTCCCTATTTGTGGAGCAAGATTGCCTCCCTCTTTAGAACAAAAAATTATTCAATACTCAGATAATCTTATTATCTGTAGCTTTTTCCTCATTTCCAGACTTCCTTAATATTCTTATAAAATGTTTAAGAAAAACGAAAAAAAGAGACATTTGAATAAGTGCAGGAAGCGCTGTTCAGCAGAGCCCTCAGAAAGTTTTGCGTGCGGAACGTGCCCTACGCACGACGGAGAGACGTCAATGGAATAGACCAGTTTTGCCTTCTTCCTGTTTCCCAAAGGAGTGGTGGGAAAAGTTGGACCCTCCCACACCCACAGTGGCACTCCTGGCGTTAGTTCTTGTTTCCAGTGTGTACCTTTTAAAATTGGTGATTCCCAGAAAACCTCATAGGCAGTCTTCTACAGATCTATGGGCTTCCTGCCGTGGTCGGATATAGGGATTCCGAGTGTCTGCCACAGATTTTGTTCATTTAATTCTATACGCAGTAGTTGAAAAAAATCTCTCAATGATGAACACTTAAATATGCAATCCTTTATCTGATACATAATTCTCTCCAAATCGATCAGAAATCAACTAATAAAATTTAATTCTACTAACATATCATTATGCTCTCAAAGAGATGGACTTCAAGGTAAACGTAAGATTAACGAACTGTATGATAAATCTACATAAACTCTGAAAGCCAACTGATGGAGCAGAATGATTCATGACTGTTAGGAAGAGAGACTTCAGATTTGACAACTCTCAACTTCGGAAGCTTTGCCACAGGGTTAAACTGTTAGGTGTCTAAAAACGGGGCAACTTTAAGAGGTTCACAAAAGAACAATAAAGATAAGAAGGAAGGAGTTGTCACTTGATAGGCTTATTCCTGATTTAATTAAAAAAGACTCAGTATCTAGTCAAATTTTAGTCTCATTCTCCAAAGAGTATCAATTGTTTGAACATTGTAAGATGAGTCAGTCCTACTGAGAAAGTAAGTACTTCTCTCTGTTATAATCTGCTTTCCTAGGGTAAAAAATACATTTTTAATACCCACCCTATATGCATGTACCCTACACACACACACATACACCCCCCACACACACAAATACCTACTTACCATAAGAGACGCCAAATGGAATGATAAGAAATCGTTCTCTTGAAAATCTTATTTTTAACCAAAACAGCCCTGTCCCCTTGCGACTCCTTCCCCAACAATCCCAAGAGGGATTGTTGATGCGAAATGTGGAAATGTCTGTGTAGACGAAACCATCTCATACCCATGGCTCCAGGATTTCTGTTACTGGTTTGTGCATTTGGGAGGGTGTACGGGAGAGAGCACGTGGCAGGTTTTGCTTTCCCATTTATTGTTTGGCCAGCTATGCCAATGTGGTGCTATTGTTTCTTTAAGAAAGTACTTGACTATAAAAAAAATGAAAAAAGAAAAAAAAAGAAAGCATAGACATATTTTTTTAAAGTATGAAAACAACAATCCTCTAGCTAGATGACTTAATAAGATAGTGTTAGATCTCGCCACCACCTTTCGACTCTGTGTCACTTATAAGTAGAATATCGTTCACCAAGTTGTGAGTTTGGGGGTTCAGAGACAGAGGATGGGAAGTGTTTAAAGTTAGAAGGCTCCATTATTTCATTGGCTCTCGAATTCAACAAAATTAGCAGTATTTTACCCCATCTGAAATGTTGGTCAAGAGCGTGGAGTAAACGTGGGAGGAGAAAAAAGAACTTGAGGCAAATGGCGGCAGAGGGTAAAGTTCCCTCGTGACTTTCTCTAGGTTGTTTGGGTTTCCTGTTTAGTTTTGGCTTTGATTTTAGTTTAGTGTGTAGGTGGGAGTGCGCGTATATGTGCATGCATGTGTGTGTGTGCGCGCGCGTGTGCGGGCGCGCTCTCCGCTCTGAAAAAAAAATACTCAGAAAGTGGAGAAAATAAAAACAGAGGTTTTAAGAACATAGACGTGCCTATTCGTAGGAACACCTTCTGCCAGATCCTCTGGGGTGCACACTGATTTCTGGTTGGTAGAGGATGCTCTTTCGTCAGGCACCTCAAGGGGTGGCCGCTCTCCTAGAAGCGGTTATGGATCTCTTTGGGAAAGGTTAGAAGCTAGTTCCTTGTGAGCTGGGGATTATCTACCGACAGTGAAAGAAAAGAGCTCATGAGAAATTTTTTGAAGAAGATGGCTAACAGTCTGTGAAGATTTTGTTCTGTTTTGTGTTGGGTTTTATTGTTCACTTTTTACAGTCTTTATGAATGGAAATCTTAATGTTCAAAAGTGACTCCGTCTTTTTCCTATGTCAGAGCAGAATGGAAGGTGATAAACTCACATAGACTCTTGGTAGGCTAGCTCGAAATGTATGGTTTGACTTACCAAATCAGACTATTTTAAGTGTCCCTTTCTATTTTCAATCATTGAAAGATTAGCTTAATTTATTAGAGTAGGCCCTACTTGGCTCCTCTCCCAAAGATGAGCGTTTCCACTCAAAGCACATGGCTTGTCCCATGTTTTCAAAGATGAATGGTTAATATTAAGGAATTATTCACCTTGAAATACAGTAGAAGTGTGAGTCTCTGTCCCCACTCCCCCACGAAGGTCATGAAATTCTGAATCTGAGGGGGGAAAAAAAAACTGAGGGAAATTTTTGTTGCTTGTTTTGTTCTCAAGGCTAGTGCTTAATCCTGCAGTGCGTATTTGCCTCCTGCTATTGTGATATTCCATACGACTTTCCTGTTAGGTGTTAGAAATTGCTATATAGATACCTTCTTTGTGTGGTTTCTATTTAAAAGAAAAGAGACAAGACTGTCTGAAGCTCAAGTGCATATGGTGCATGATATCAATTTAAATAACCACTTCACATCTGGTACAATCTTCTCTTTCTTGTCATTTTTAAGGAAAACTTCCCCAGATAAGACAGAGGCCCAGGGGACTTTGGAAACTGCCTTTGTTCCTCCAAGTTCTGTTTTTCCCCCCTAGTGATTGCCTCAGAATTT